AATCGCTGACTACTTCGAGATGAACTGTCTTAGTTGTAAAACAACAGTACACAGCAATGTATGCCTTGTGTGGTTTCTTGCCTCGGATTCTGTAATGTATCCAAGGTCCGCAAAAGTCCACTCCAGTGGTGAGGAATGGTCGCCCAGGTTGTACTCTTGTCACTGGCAAATTACCCATCAGTTGTTTATAAAATCGTGGTCTTACTTTAGTACAACGTACACAATGTTGTACTACTGACCTTGCCATCAATTTGCCTTTAATTGGCCAGTATCGTTGACGCATGTTAGCTAGGAGAGACTGCGGACCACAGTGTATGTATTTCTTATGGACTTGTTCCATTATTAATTTGACAATGGGGTCGTTATAAGGCAACAACATAGGATGTTTTGTGTCATACGATAATGAGGCTGCATCCAAACGTCCACCAACTCTTATGATGCCCGTATTATCAATAAAAGGTGCCAGTGATGCCAATGCACTGGACTTATTTATTCTTCCATCAGATTTCATAATTTTGATTTCAATTTTAAATTCTGCATATTGAATACTTATGATGATGACCTGATGTGCTGCATCTAGATCATCTGGAGTCAAAAAATTGCTTGAATGATCATTTTGTTTTCTTCTGGTTCTTTTTACGAATCTTAATATATACGATAATATCCGTTGAAGTCTTCCAAATGAGTTGTTGTGTCGTATTGAGTATATGAACTCTCCAGGATTGGCTGTGCCTTCAACAGCAGACAATGTAGATACTTGAGTTTCCTTCTTCCGTTCAGGATCAATGAGGGTTTCGGATTTTAACGCTGATGATGGTTTTGAAGGCCATAGTTCTTCCCGACCATGCAGGAACATAGGTCCATAAAACCACATACTTGATGACTGTAGTTTATGGGGTGCAAGGCCTCTTGATAAAATGTCAGCTGGATTGTGTTCCGAACTGACGTGGCGCAACTGACGAGGTTCGAGACGAGGTAATGTCAACCTTTTCAAAGGTGCAACCCGAGATTTGGCGCACAAAAGTCGTACAATAATTTGACCATTCTGAAGTGTTGATTTCGACACTTCGCCTTTGAAAATATGACGAGATATCTGCAGACAATTTACTTTTGTCAAATTGTTCCGGAACTCTAACCACTGTTTATGTAATTCAGTCGGCAGTTTCTCATCCCAATCCATCTTTAAATTCCATAATTCTTGAATAAAGATCTTCGCCATCACCACAACTGGTGACAAAAGTCCTAGTGGATCAAATAACCTTGCTAAATCTGAGGTTGCACTGCGCTTCGTCGTGCTGCAAACAGGTTCCAATTTAACCTTGACGCATAAACTATCAGATTTTGGACACCAGGATAACCCAAGAGTTTTTGTTGTATCGTTATTATTTTCTAAATCTAAATTGACTTCTAAGTCATCGTGTGGAATTCCTTGTAGTAGACTTGTATGATTTGCGCACCATTTTCGCAATTTAAAACCGCTTGCTGTCAGTATTTTGTTTAATTGACTCTGAGTTTCCAACAATGTTCTCAGACTATCTGCCCCGTGTAAACAGTCATCTACATAGAAGTTTTGTTTGAGAGCAGATGCACCTAATGGATAATTTTGCATATTGTCATCAGCTAAAACTTGCAAACATTTGGTTGCTAGATACGGTGCTGATCTAGTACCATATGTTACTGTGTTGAGTTCAAAGTACTTTATAGGTTGACTTGGTTCATTTCTCCAAACTATAAGCTGACATTGTCTGTCTTTTGGATGTACAAGTATTTGTTGGTACATCTTTTCAATGTCTGTTGTAAACACATAACGAGGAAGACAGAATCGTAATAAAATAGATAGTAATTCACTTTGAACAGTTGGTCCGATGTGTAGTAAATCATTGAGAGATTGTCCTGATGTTGTTTTGGATGATGCATCAAATACCACACGTAACTTGGTGGTGGTACTGTCGGGTTTAAGCACATAATTGTGTGGTATAAAATAATGTGGTGACATAATCCTTTCAATATCTATTTCGGTCATATGTCCCAATTTTTCATATTCACCTAAAAACTCTACGTATTGTGATTTGAGGTGACTATCGTTTGAAAGTCTACGCTCTAGTGCTAGAAATATATTTGTAGCAATGTCTTTCGAATCTCCCAAAGCGAATCTGTCATTTATAAAAGGAAGACGTACGACGAATTATCCCGTAACATTCTGATATGTAGTTTGAGTGAATTGGGCTTCACATTGTTGTTCTGCTATTGACAAGACCTTTGAGTGAGTATCAACTTCTTCAACCTTCCAAAATTGTTCTACTGCATTTTCTAAACTATCTTCTGCAACCATTGTATAACTACCACATGTTGCAATCATTGTGTTAGCATTTTGGATTTTTCCAGATACGATCCATCCGAGCACAGTGTTCTGTAGAATTGGTAGTTCCCTTGAAAGTTGTATTTGACCAGGACTTAGGAGTTGATGATAAAATTCTGCTCCAAGCAACATATCAATTTTGTTAGACTTATAGAATGTAGGATCTTCTAATTGGATGTTATTGGACAGATTCCGATTTGAAATTTGTAAGTGTTGCGATGGTTGATTGGATACAATTTTTGGCAACACAATTGCTTCAAGTATTGTTTTGTAATTGGTCACTTTTGATTGCACAGAAAGTGTTGTACGACTTTTAGAACTCAATTTACCTATCCCTATGCCTTCGATGCAAATCGAACTGGAGCTTACTTGCAGCCCCAATCTGGATGCCAATCGTTCAGTCACAATATTTATTTGTGAACCTGAATCCAATACTGCTCTGCACTCGACTGTTCTTCCATTAGAGTTGGAGGCTAAAAGTTTTGCTGTTCCTAAAAGAACGCAACTGGTCTGACCATGATTGATGGACGACATTAGAGTTGTTTGTGCAAGTGGCCTTGAAGTGTTTTCAACTGACGTATGATTTGATAGTTGAACTGGGTGTCTATTTTGATGCAACAGTGTATTATGTCTTCTTTGGCATATAGTACAACCCCTGCTGGAGCATTGTAATGCCATATGACCAGGTTTCATGCAGTTTGTGCACAATTTATGACGTTTTAGTAAATCGTACTTCTGTTGTATGGATTTACGTTTGGAAGTTTCGCATGAAAATAATTGAGGACTACTATTGCAAGTAAAACATTTTGATCCTGAGTTTGTAGCTGCAAGTGCTACTGCTGGATGTCGTGGTTTGTGACTTTGTTTGTGGTTTCCATTCGTCATCGATTCGAATGCCTGAAATCTTCCTTCTAGGAACCGCAATAATTCTTTTAATGAAATTATTCTTCGACTGTCTTCTAACGATTGCTCGAATGCTGTATGTGAAGCTTTGTCTAGCTTTCTCATAATTACGTGAACCATTATGGCGTCCCAAGATTTAACATCAATACCTTGAGCTGCTAATCCATAATAACATTCTTAAGACTGCTTGCTGATTCAATTGTTATATTTGGTTGTGATAACAATTTATTTAGTAATGCTGTCACCAAGAGTCGTTTGTTGTCATACCGATTTGACAGAATATCCCAAGCTATATTGTAATTTCATGGATCAATTGTTGAAACAAATCTCTAAACTCAATCCATTTCAAATAGTCTCCATCAAATGTTGGCAAAACTATTTTCGGAAGTCTGATTTGTTGAGTTGCTGCAGGCCCCTCTGACGTCAATCCTTCAGTTGGTTGACTGTGTTGTTTTAAATATATCAACGCGTTTTGGGCATCTTTATCCGTTGAATAGTATTGATCCCAAGTATATCCGACGATGTCTTCTGCGTCGGCTGATGACCATATTTCATCATTGTTATCCCTCAGACCCTTCTGATATTTTTCTATTAGAGAATATTTCAGATCATAATAACTAGGATGATGTTTTATGGTCATTTCTTCATATATTTCATCTATTGTGGCAGTAGCATCATTAGATTCGAAATTATTCCACAACGTGTTTAGTTTATTTAGCCGATCTTCATAATATGTGGTATCCTGCTTGCGGGTACTAGAATCCTTGTATATGTTATGCTGTTTGCAAACGAATATTTAGTCGTTTACATGCAATATATTTTTGATAATTTTAGAAAATCTGTTTACTCATTTGTAATGATTTATATACCAAAATATTCTAGAATATGTGTACTTTTCAAAAAAAGTACCGTGCAATATTGTACCAATTCGTAAAATTTATATTTAATTATATATTCATAGTATCCCCTAACAATGAATATAACAGCTAACAAATGCCTGCAAAAGACTTCAATGCATTTGTGAATATGCTTCAAAAGTAGTTTTTGTCAATATCTTTTTTGTTTGCTACTCGATTTAGATAATTCTTGCATCAATTCATATAAGAAATATATAAACAATTTAAAAAAATACCGTGCAACATTGTACTACTTCTTATTTTTTTTTAATATATATTGAAAAATGCTTGATATGACGACATATGTTATACTGTTTACAGACGAAGATTTAGTTTACTATATGCAATATAATTTTAAATTTAATTTAAATATTAAATTTAATATATTATTATCTCCTTAACACAGAATATAACCGCCTATAAATACCTTTAACAGAGTTCTTTAGTAGACTTTAAAGTGGTGGTGAATTTTTAGCATTGTACAGCTTTTCACCTTAATGTGTTATTAGAATGGTGTTAGTTAACATACATTTTTTTCGTAAAAAAACTACTTTTTTAAACATATATAATTAAGAAACGTTCTACTCGATTTTTGTGAAATTAGTTTCATTTGAAAGAGTGATCAATCTAGTTTTAGGAACTTTAAGAGTGCTGGCTGTACCTCCTTCGAAATTTAAATAAAATGCACTAATATCGGAACATGTGCAAAATATGTACTTATTTTTATAATATTTTTATGTTTTAGTTGAGATATTGAAATGATTCTTGTTTACTCGGTTTCGTGATCATATTCTTTATACTTTTACGTTTTACATTGTTTAAGAAGCTTAAAATTAGACGAGTTTAGAAATTTAACTTTGACATCAAATTTCTCAAAATTGGTCTACTCGATTTTTATGTTTTTTTTTTTTTGCTATTGATAGCCTGATTAATTCTCTTTAGATGTATTTGCGTCCAATAAGAAGATCTAAAGCTAATGGTGGTATGTGTTGTAACTTTTTTTATTAAGTTTTCTGAAGCTTTAAATAACGGGATCAGAACTAATGAGAAACCTATTCAAAATATCGTAATTGGTCTTTTCTCTGCTACATTTACGTGCTTCTTGCGCTTCCTCCATTAATTGCCCAATTGGTAACATAGCGTGCGATATTATCTCCGGACCATGAATAAAGTATTTATATAGTGTAGGAGGCATATTATCGATAGCATATTTCGATACAAAATATCTAGCAGTTTCATATGCAAAACATCGATGCCTTTCAATTTCTATTTCATTGCCACAAGAAACAACAATAAATGTGATATGCATCCTTTTTATTAAATCTAAATCAACACTAGTGATTTCAACCGATAGTTCTGCGTTTTTGAAAGAACCTTCTGAGTGTGTTCCCATCATTTGAGTTACCAAATTCGGGTTTTGGTTGATTAACGATTAAACCAGCTCTATCTTTAAAGTCTTTTTGAATATGTCTCTTTGTTTCCATGACAGTTTTTTTATCGTATTCTGACTTTGCTTGTTATTTTTTATGGGTAATTTATAAGATAAATGCCGTAGATATTCAAAAAACCTTATCCAACGATGCAATACCGACAACCCAAAACTAAGACTAGAAGTTTCAACATTTTTAGCAATCATTTCATCAATTGAATCAATTGAAACTTTGCATTAGTTGCACCGCAAAAGTAACACTTCTGAGTTGATGTTGTTTCGGTTAAGGCATTGCATACTTTTCCATCTACCATTGTTAACAGAAAATTATGTCTCACCTCAACAGTTTTGTTTTCGAATACCACAATAGACTTATCAATGTTTTGAACTTCTTCTTCAACCATTTGTTTTTCTTCTCTAGAAACGCTTGCGCTTTCTTTTTTAAAAAGGATCTTAAAGGGTCTACAAAATCTGGTAAAAGATGGTCTCGGGTCTTGCCAAATAATTTTGTCACCACAAAGTAACCATAATGGTACAAACGATGTTATGAAAACAGCAGCATCGCTGGCATTTGGTCCATGAAATGCCTGTTTAAATGAGGTATGGCCAAAACTTCCATCAAATCTCCACTTAGATTGTAAACAAAAATTTGCTAATTCTTCTTCACATAAAGTAATAATAACAGAATCTTGCAGTACTACTAGACGCTCCACAGTATGGTCAAGAAGGGCACATTAATTTTTTGCCACAAGGTAGTCAAATATATGTACTTTACATATAATTTGGAATTATAAGTACATTTTACTACAAAAATAACATTATGTCTATTTATTTCCTGAAAATACATGTAATTTCAAAACTATAACAATAACTTTTTTTAATTATTTATACAAATATTTTGTAATCGCAAATACATTTAAATATTAAAAAAATACCTGAGCTTGAAGGTATTACAAAAATTACTTGTGAATAATATTTTATTTCAATTAGCACTTCAAATCACTAAAAAATGTGCAACGCACTCTTGACACAGCATGAATAAATAAACGTGCTATGGTGATACCGTTATATATGGGTCATTCTTTTACAAACCGGACGGATTTTGGCAAGAAATGACCTCATCACCTCCGATTTGGCTGAAATTTTTTTTTATGAGCTCCTTTCATAAAATAAGAAGACCCGTATCTCGGGAAAAAATTTTGTAATTTTTTTCCTAGGAGATATGGACCCATGGGGTTTTGAGAATTAGCATTGTAGACACATTTTCAAATGGCTATATCTCAAGTTCTATAAAAGGTAGAAACTTGAAATTTATTGCGTTTTAAAGATAATTGGTTAAACTTTTAAGAAATTGTTTAAACAATTAAGATTGTTTATATGTATGTATGTATGTATATTTATTTTCATTTTAAATTTCATTTTTACAATATGATGTATCTTAAATTAATATATAAATAAATATAAAAATAAATATAACTAAAATAGCGACTGTGACACGATGTCGTCCGTCGACTTATATTGTAATAGTAGTATTAAAAGTAGTTTTGCAATAGTGAGTATAACAATAAACTAGTATAAACACATTATAAATGATAGAAGAGCCACAAACTATATATTAATTATTATATTGTGATATTAAATAATACCGATATGCTATACAATTTTTTACATATTCTGCTACTCTTACCCATTCTACCTCCGAACCGTTTAAAACATTTATAATGCTTTTATAAGATAGAATAGCTTTACCAAAGCAAGCCAATCGGAACTCTTGTAGAATAGGACAACGACCAAGAAAATGCACAATATCTTCAGTCTCATCTAAATTACACATACTACAGAGCGCAGATCTACTCGTATATATATCAAATCTGTTTCCATTTAGCTGTATCATGCTACTTCTTGCTTTGAGTATCCAGGTGATATTTTTAATATGTGTTATGTCAGCTATATATTCTATCCTAGTGATGGTGTTAAGTCTTTATATATTCGGTTAGTTTGTTGGGATTTACTTATATATTTTTCCCTCAAATCAGCTTTCAGAAATGTCAACAGCAGTTCATTATTTGCCTTCCAAAGATTTCGCGATGCTGTTTGTTGATTCCAATTTATGCCGCAAACATTTCCCAGTTCATTTAGAACCTGCACCCAAGAAAGGTTAAGATTTAACAATTTTTTGGTCAATTGATTGGGTAATCTTTCGGTACCATATATATACATGGTTCTGAAAATGTAATTGAGGTGCAATTTTAAGGTATATAAATGTCCATCTTCCGCCCCAGTCTCTAACATTAATTGTTAGATTGTTTATATTTAAGTACTAATATTAACCGTTAAATTTCAAAAAAAAAGATATCTCAAAACGGTACGCAACATTTTTCATTTTTTATATTTTATTTAGATTCAGTTTTAAATTTTACTAAGAAAAAAAAATTTTCATGATGGCACCAATTTTTATACATTTTTCAAATTTTTTTTTTTCTCATAAAACACATCAAACACACGCGTGCTATATTTACATTGAATGATTTTTCAAAAAATATACTACAAATATTCTTATATAATATTTTTGATTTCAATTAGTAATAAAATTGTACATAAAACTCAAAAATTTCAGGACGATATTGTGGTTGGAAGTACTTTTAAAAAATTTATTTATCCTTCACATCACTCCAAACACATACACACGATTTTTCTGTAAAAAAAAAAACAGAGGAATACGTCACACAAATTTTTCATTTTTACTTTTAATTCCGATTAAACAATAAATTCTTCTTCGAAAATAAATATTTCCA